ATAGATAGATAGATAGATAGATAGATAGATAGATAGATAGATAGATAGATAGATAGATAGATAGATAGATAGATAGAGTATTATTTATTATGCTCACATCTTCACATCAAGCCCCGCCCCCAACCCTGCGCCTGCGCAGTCCATCAGTTCGAGCACCGATGTCATGGATCGGGGCTGACGCCATGTATTGAATACAGCACGCATCTGTCGTAGTTTCAGCGCCTCTGTAATGGTTTTATTAAAGTTCAGTTAGCCTCCAAAATGACCGACTACGCGGAAGAGCAAAGAAATGAGCTTGAAGCGATAGAATCCATCTATCCGGATTCTTTTACAGGTCGGAACAGCGAGTTAAAGCCGGAGCTAGCTTCAGCTAGCTTCAACGAGCTAACAGTTAGCTGACAGTGCCACATGTAATTTCTTATTTGGGGTGAAATGAGTGAGGGTCTTTTCTGGGTCCATTAGAGACAGAAGGGACCAGGTGAACTTGACGTCAGTACTTTGTTCTGTTGTTTTAATTGTGTCTAAAAAGTTTTTGGCTCTGCTCAGTCAGTCCACTGAGTGCAGCAGCTGAGCTAGGTGTTTCCAGCTGTCTCAGACTGAAGTTACCTGTCAAGTTTTGATTTCTGATGTTAGTCCTGTTGATGTGCTGCAGTTCTCTCTGAAGACCCCACCAGTTTCACCATCACTGTCACCTCAGACGCAGGAGAAAACGGTGAAAGTGAGTGAAAATCTTCAGCATCATCTCAGAACATCTGAAGCATGAAGATGAACTTTCTGTTTTCTTATTTTTTTTTCCAGTTGTGGAAACAACAATAAAGTTTACATATGTGGCCCAATACCCAGACGAGCCCCCGCTGTGGGAGATCCACTCCCAGGAGAACCTTGAGGACCAGGACACGGAGGAGATCCTGTCCCTGCTGAAGCAGCAGGTCTGTGTTCTGCTTCACAAACACTCAGACTTCATCACTTCTACATTCAAAGTATGAAAATAAAGTTCCTGGGGTCGGATTT